CGCATGCATCAGGAGCGTCCGTCTGCTAGCCCCGCTTGTCTCAAAGGTCGCGTCGGCCTTGCCGCCGCCGCTGATCCACGTCCGAATCGGAAGGACCAAGCCTTCATGCGCCGCCGACACCACGTTCTCTGGAACGGGCGGCGGGCTCACTGGGCGCGGCGCGGAGGCGCGTCGGCGGGGCATGACTCGGGGCGCAAAAAGGCTGACGCCGCCCTGCTCCCGCGAAACCGGCGCTTTTTTTTCTTTGGGTACCGCTCCCTTTGTTTCTTCTTCTTCTTGATCGCGCGCTCTTTTACCGACTTTTCCAATCGCGTCCCGCACCTTGTTTCTTTTTTTGATCTCGAACAATTAATTTTTACCGACTTTCTGGCCCAGCGAGGCCGCTGCGGGGCACACGGCGGCACGGGTCACTCCTCAACACAAACCCCGTCGAAGCAGGAAGTTTAGTCTGTCCCGCACCTTGTTTCTTTGATTGGATCACGCTAGTCTCGTTGCGCAGCATATTAATTTTTACCCACGGAAAATCCCGCAAACGCCTGCAAACGCACGATTCACACGACAGACAAGGCGCAGGCGACGGCTTCCTTAGAATGATGCGCATCATACCCTCACGTTCCCCACCCTCGCCTCCAGTGCCGCCAATCAAGTCGCTCTGAGCCTAGCGCAGCGCGAACCCGCGCACACAAAAGCTTTTGCGCAGCAAGCTCCCCCAGTTATTTCTTTTCGTCAATAGCACAGCTCTCGGTCGCTGAGCTCCCAGCCCGCGGCCTTCTCCCTCCGCCGACCACAGCGGGGTCACCGCAGCGGCTTTCCACAGATGCTTCTCATTATCACCGCCGCGGGCGCTTCGGTCGCCCTCTTCGCGGGCCCGACCGTTCCGGTCTCGGCCGGCGCCGCCTCGCGGCCGGCGGTGCGCATGATGTCGGACGCCGGCTTCACCAGCAAGAAGGAGCTTCTCCTGGACGAGGAGATTGACCGCAGCGGCGTCGAGGCCGACATCGAGGAGAAGGTGCTCGACTCCTCCAAGCTCTCCGTGCTGGATGCGGTGCAGTGGTCGCCGTCGGCGCGCGGCGAGCCGGGAAAGACGCCGCGCGATCTCGCGTACGGCCCGCTCGACCTGTACGCCACGGACCTGTACGAGGTGAAGCGGCGGGAGACGCGGACCGTTGAGTGCGGCCCGATCAAGTTTGGCTCGGAGCACCCGCTCGTGCGGCAGACGATGGCGACGACGCTCACGTCGGACGTCGAGGGCACCATCGAGCAGGTGATCAAGTGCGCCGACGAGGGCTTCGACCTTGTGCGGGTGACTGTGGTGGGGATGAAGGACGCGAAGGCGTGCATGGCGATCCGCAAGGGGCTCGACGAGCGCGGGTACGACATCCCGCTCTGCGCCGACATGCACTTCGCGCCCAAGGTAGCGCTCGCCGTCGCGGACGCCGTCGAGAAGATCCGCATCAACCCGGGCAACTTTGTGGACGGGCGGAAGACGTTTGAGGAGACG